CACACAGCTGCTGAGATCTCTTCGACAGCAGCCTTCTGAGTAGTTTCCTTTAGGAAAATAGACTGCGATGTCTCGAACATCGTAGCAACTGAAACATGAGGCGGTCTGTATGCAGCACATTCAATTGTAGAATATCATAAACGAGAGATTCAGTTGAGTCTCTGGTGAAAACCAAATTGATTTGCAAATGAGTGTATTTCTCGATGTAACTTTAGTTCCAAAGCAACATGACCAGCAAGTCTACACGTTCGATAATATCACCATGCTAATGTGAACGAGATTTGGAAGGCGAATACTGCACTTCGCAGTTGGACGGGCTGAATACATGAAACCTAGGAAATTAAAAGTAGGAAGACCTACACGTGACTCTATAGCGTTACTACCAGCTGAATTAGCTATCCGTACATTGTTTCTCCTCATGCTGATATGGTTGGGATAGTCAAGTTTACTGTATCGATCGCAGAGCTTGATGAAAAGACGACTTTAGATTAACGGCCGAAATGACTTGTCGCCCACCCACTCTCGTTTCCTGGGGCTAGCTGAGAAAAGCTAACAAAACTTTCTGTCCCGGTTTTGAAAATGGGTAACAATAGCTGCTTCCTTACTGGAAAATTTTTCATCATAAATGGCATTTGTAAAATATTAGTCAAGCGGAATTATCATGTTTACTGTAATCAATGCGGATGAGCAATTTTTGCTCAACTGTAATCAGGAAGACCTGAAGAAGGGATTGGCCTGGTATGATCTGTTGGAAGGCTGCACATTGTGAAACACCCTAGATGTACAAACTTCGATGCCGGCTTCCAGCAATGGAGATACTGGTCAGTTAGTTTCACTTGGATAAGCCTTATGGGAAAAGGTTACCGACCACAGTCGTCCCGGCACTGCGGTGCCAGAATTTCGATGGCTGTGGTATTTTGATGTATGAGCTTCACGAGAGACAAAATACCCCAAACAATCGCTGGAAACCAATCATTTCGGTATGGAATGTAGTTGATTTTAACGCTGGATTCTGGTACATTGTAGACGGTCGTGCTGGGGACCAGCTACATATTTTTGTAGTGAATTGAGGTGTAGAAAGCCAAAAGTTGGTTGGCTGTCAAAGAACTGAAAAAAAGACAGTGAACGCTGAAGGAAGACATCACAATCACCGTAATCCTAGTCATCATTGGCAGTGATAAACCAATAATACATACTGGTGCTTAACTGCCATACAGGGAGAGGAATCAATAACTGCATAGTCAAAGTAGGATGCTTGGGCATTTGGTTTCGAGAGATGATTAGTTTCGTCTTTTTGGCAGTCTTCGCATGGCGATTCGTACCTCTCTCTTGAAGGTATAACTTGAACAAATTTCCCTACTTCTTCCGACCAGCGACCAATGGACCGTCAAAAATAACTACTCACTTTCAAACCATCCAGTCAGGTATCTGCGCGTGAGGATGCAACGTTCGCTTGTAAGGATAATTTCATCTATGTTTGACCGCTCCACTGAGTATTTCTGTAACCACGTCACAGCTGAAAACATGTACTTTTATACTACATACCAAAGTAGGGCCATCACATGCCCGTTCCGAACCAGGTTACTGTTCGCTTTCTCTTCGTATCACGCTGCTGCACTTTTCGCATAAAAAGTTGAAATTACTTTTGTAGGCTTCCGAGAACAGGCCTGAGCTATGCTTGACTAGACTGCGGGTGACGAATAAAGGTTTTTCTGTGACTAACAGACTGACCGGGCCCTGTTACCGATATCCCATTAATTTAAGGGATATCTTAAATCCTCTAACTCCGTTGTTAAACTCCAGTGGATGGACCCTCAAAATTACATTTGAATATCTGTTACTCCGAACACTGCCTCTGTAAGGTTACCTGTGTTCAGGTTATACTAGTTCACGAATACGTCCAGAAAAACAGACTTATTATTTATGATAACCGTTACCCAGTTCACTCGGTGCACACAGGCTCAGTTCAATAGTACAGCGAGCTAGGGATTTAGAGTCCCAATAGTTGCATAAAATACCAAATAATTGGCTTTTACGTCCGACAAAGTGGTCTTATCGTGGTCTACCCTGTTTCGGCTGTCCTGTCGTGAAATGACCTGAATGGAACATTCAGGTAGGTGACACGACAAGCAATTGGAAGGTAGGATGGTCTGGGAGATCGACACGGTAGACCCGCATCAGTATGCCCAGCTTTAGTTCCAATCCGGTAAGTGAAAAATCCAACAGCGCGCAGCTCAATAATCCCTAGATAGTTCCGACCTCGGGACCTCTCAGTAAGTAGTGGTCGAACGGCCAACTGCTAGCCGACTGACCACAACTCGGCTGGTATTTCCGAGATACACACTGCCGACGATTTCCAACAGGATATATAGTGCTTTTCGGATAAACTGACTTTGCATAATGAAAACTACAATCAAACTATAAATAAATTGCGCAGAGAGTAAAGCACCTCACGAGTTGCACGAGCCTCTTATCTGAGAAGTCTTCATTCCAAGATCCACTCAACGCGTGGCCACGTGATAAAGAACGTATAATTGCAGGATGAGTAGTTCTGTAGCCTGTGTGAAGGCGCACTAACCACACTGCTGATCGGCGACTCCTAAGTAGACTGTCTGGGTCTCATCTACTAACTGAGGGTCGAGAGTTCAAATTACCCTACATATTCGCGAGGTGGGTCCTGCTGATGATCGCTGCCGGGGACAAAATACCAGTACGTTTTTGCTCAGCATGAAAACCCGATAATCTTCTCGAACTGACATTGAACTAGGAATCGATTCGCGAAACACTTAGACGGTGCAGTATCGGGAACGGACCATTGTCCGCTCCCCACTGCTAGCTGGCTGATTGACTAACAACGGTTCTCTTCGTATTGCTAATTCTCGCGGCGACACTGCCGAGATGCCTACCAGGGCACGAACTGGTAACTACTACCAGACGACAGAGGCAACTAGAGCTCGGAGCTTGCTGGGACCCAACCACAACCATCCCGTCTTAGGCAGTTTTGCTGCCAACACAACAGTGACGGAGGCCCGTACGAAACGTGCGCCGCACCACGGCGATTGGATTGACATCACAAAACTCACGATTGGACCAGGACCCACGTCAGTGGACGATTGAAACAAGGCTGTCGCGAACACGACAGTTAACCAATCAAGGCCACACCCCTGTTTTGGCAATGGCAAGCCACGCCAATCTGATTGGCCGGTTGTTTACTGAGCTGATCGATACGCGCATCTAGCGCTCCAGACAGGCCTGTGCGTTTCTTCGCCCGTGTGTGTGGAACACAAACGTCAAGGTGATTGCTGCAACGCTGCGCGTTGATTGGCCAAGTTAACAGCCAGACCAAGATTTTACACACAACAGGCAAGTCGCACAGTTCTAGGTTGACAAGGCGAGTTTGCCGGATCCGTCCGCCCTGTGCCGACGTAACTGTGGATTAGATGGCGGCCATACGGAAGAAATTGGTTATCGTGGGTGACGGTGCATGTGGGAAGACCTGTCTCTTGATTGTATTTAGTAAGGACCAATTTCCCGAAGTCTATGTTCCGACGGTGTTCGAAAATTACGTTGCCGACATCGAGGTTGACGGAAAGCAGGTTGAGTTGGCTCTCTGGGACACCGCTGGTCAGGAGGATTATGACCGACTTCGTCCACTCTCCTATCCGGACACAGACGTTATCCTGATGTGCTTCTCGATCGACAGGTGAGTTGTCCGGCTAGATCTGATTTATTCGAGACAAGTCCAAGAGGGGATAATGAGGGTCGGCCTCGGCATTTTTGTATTACTGTGGTAATTTGCCAGGATGGTTTTGTGGTTTAGTTCCTCAAATGGCCTGGGCGTTGTCCTACTTCACTTCTAGCCGGTCTGTTGACTAAATAGTGTTGTGACCCATAAGAACCCACATTAGTTTACGTCCATATAAGTATGAATGCGCCAAACCCAGTGACGGGCGCGGTTGCGAACGCATGGTTTCAATTTTAGGACAAAGTCCAACGATCAGTTAGTTAAATGGCCGATGTGGATCGCTAAATATAGAGCGGACCATTGCACTGGTTGGGCCTACTGGCTCAACTGGACGGGAATTGGGGAAATCACCCCTAACTAGCGGGATTCCTAGGTATGTGGAAGACCGTTTAGTGAAGTGACTGAAACCTAATGCGGGTGATGTACTAGCCCACACACCTTATTAACAAACTATGAGAATATCCAGTCTGCCACGTTAGTTGATAGGCATAAGTCCGATTAACGTAGTCTCCTTGTTGAAGATAGATGGAACTTGTGTTCTCTTGTACGTTGGTGAGTGAAATCCAGAGGTGCGCTCGAAATCCTATTGCTTTGTGATAGGGATATTCATCCTGTCTATTCCAATCCGGTTTTTACGTCGATGAACTAATGAGTTGCATAGTGAAGAGTATTCACAACCCGAATTTTGTTTACTTGCTGGTAAGAGTTTTGTTGGACCGGATTGTATGGATGGCGTCATCGTCCTTAGAAGCGAACATTAAGAACAATTCAAGAAGTATTGAAGTTTGTTGCTACTTTTATACGTGTCGAAAATCCCGTAAACTCTTGCGGTTGCGTGAGTATCGAGGGACCGAACCGTGTTTGCGATTTTGCGGTTGTGACACTTTAAAATCGCGTATACCAGGCTCAGTATGGGATGTTCTGTGTACGGTTCAATACTGCCTCTGCTGGTGTCCTCAGGTCTTTGGTCAATAATGTCCCATAACTGTCGTCGGTTGTTAACCCCATTGAATTTGTCATGAAGTAGTTTGAACCAAAGCTCTCGTCTTCACTGCGTAGCTTTCACTCCGCACCCACTATACCGAACAAACAGGGTCGTTAGACGTTAATGAACTGACTGGGTCATCTCTAACATGTGGCACCCATCCTTCTATTTTCCCTTTCTCCAGTGAATGAAGCTACAGTAGCTGGAACAACTGAACGTCGGTGCATGGTTTTTGAGCTGAAAAACTGACCGTACTGTTGTAAGGCATCACCACCAATCTGTTTCGGTGGCTTTCACGCCTCATATATCTGTGTTTGGAGTTGTGGATACCAGGTCTCTTTCGTGCCTTCTCCTGCTCTCCACCTTAATGCTTTTTAAAACCAACCATCCTTTGTGCGGCTGCGGAGCACCAGTATCAACGCTTGTTGCTGTTGTTGATGTCTCGGAAACTTTCCGCTGGTCAGATTATTGAGTTTTCAGTTGCGAGCAGGTATCGCCAGCGAAACTTTCTTATGGGTTTTTTAACGCAACTAGATTCATTCGAACTGGGGAATGCGCAGCATCATTCGCTGCACATTGGCTCATCATTGTCAACGAATGCCACCCATTTATGTCTGTCAGTCACATATACAGACCATCACTCGGTGGAATAAGCCTGCATTACACATCCTGCTGTTGCGTTCGTTGTTAATACGGTTAAGAATACCCAACCCAGGTTTTACCGTTTCTTAGTTTTAACCTGTGTTATATCTCCAAATCCCGCGCGTGGTACTCAGGTTGGATCTTTTTATTGAAACAACATTAAACCAACTCAACTTTCCAAAGTTGATTATCTGCATGGCCGGCAACTCTGAACTAACAGCTGGAGATATATACGAATCGTCCAGCTGTAGTGCCCTTTCGGTGCCTAGCTGCCGTGCCACCCGAAGGAAGCACGAGGTCTGGGATACTGCCAGGTCGCCCAAGCCTAGACAGGGGAAGTCGAGTGGCAGAGGTCGGGTTTGAACCACGGACCTTCCGGTCAGTAAATTTGCGCTCTAACCACTTGGTCCATCTCGCCCCGGAAATATATCCGGCGTAGCAGTCGCTCCCAGAACGCACTGCACTGGACTGGACTCCAGCAAAGCTCGTCCTTACACTCTCTGACAAAGCGGATCAGCCGAGTGCAAACACTACCATGGTTTTCCAGATTCGGTTAGTGATTTCTTCATTCACCAGTCCACCGGGACTGACCATACAAACGAACTTGTCCACGACATCGATCGGCTCACTTACAAGCATGAGGTCCGGGTTCGATCCCACCCTATCTTGTAGTAACACTTTGCAAGTGTGGTGCGCATACTAATTCGATCACCGATATATGATTGCCATCTAAAGAGGACTCAATCAAAACATCGATTGCAAAGGTGAAGAGGAGCAACGAGAGAATCCCTGCCTGACACCACAGGATATGGTGAACTCAAAAGAGTGGAAAAAGGGAGAGAGTGGATGGAGTAGGAGACTCGATGTTGGCCGGTGTGAAGCATTATGGGGTGCCGACACCTAGCGCTCAATCAGACAAGTTGGAAACTGGTAGTGTGAATTCCACTGACATCAGTCAGCCGTCGTTTCTTGCAATGAATCCAGCCAAGCGCAGCTGGGGTCACGGTGCCCCCATCCTGGAAGACCCACAGCACCAACCACACCCACACTTCGTAATATCTTTTACGAAGTCATACGTTGTTCACCTCGCCGATTTCACCATTCTGAAAGAGGTACGGAGAACAAAACTCGCCTCGGTAGACGGTGTTTCGACATTCGTAATACATGGCCGAGTTAACGCAGTTAATGCTGCTGGGTATTTTCTCCAATTGAAGCACACTGCACACCCAAATACCTGTTTTCTAATAATCTCTACAAATTTCTTTGACACGATTCGATACCAGGCAAACTTCCGAGGAATCGGTGGCCAAAAATTACTCAGCGTAATCTGCTCGCAGAGACCATGTTTCACAACCGTACAGCAACACAGCTGTTACTGTAGCCTGGTACACGCGACCCTTGAAACCTAGGTACATGCTTTTTGACGCCACAAATTAGCTACGTGATTCTAGCCTATAGGATTCGCCTGACTTCATCAGGCGAACTTCCGTTAGAGCTAATACAACTATCGAGGTATGCAATCTTCTCCACAACCTCCTTTAATTTTAAGGGTTATGTTCAAAAACTGCATGTTTTGAAACTTCACTTTGCACCTTGAAGATGTAAGACACATGCCAAAACGTGATATGGTGGTGACCAGTTTATTCATCAGGTCGTTCAGCTATAGCACCCTTTCGGTGACTAACTGCCATGCCACCAGAGGGAAGCACGAGGGCTGGGGCACTACCAAGTTGCTCAAGCGTAGACAGGGGAAGTCGAGAGGCAGGGGTCGGGTTCGAACCACGGACCTTTCGGTCAGTAGATTCGCGCTTTAACCATTGAGCTATCTCGCCTCTTATCAGGGCTTGTGATTCTCCCTGGTTCTCAAAGGTGAGCTTCCTGTCGTCTCCAGCTCGACAAGGTTCTTACCAGCAACAATTTGAAAACCGGGGTTATCAGGACCTCCCAGCGTTTGTCCCATTATTTCATCGAGGGCGAAGTTGAACAAGAAGCGAGAACGTTGACATCGTGACCGGACACCACTTTAGTAGGGAAGCTTCTGGAGAGTTCGCCGTACGCTCACACCAAGAAGTATGTGAATGTAAGGATCGGTTATGTTCACAAACGTCTGGGGCACGCTCTGTTGGGCAATTCTAGTTAATACCACTGGTCAATCAACAGAAACAAACGCATAATTGAAGTCAAAGAATAGCAAGTTTGTGGGCCGTTTGTACATGTGGCGTTGCTGTGATACCTGACGGAGTGTCATCATCATCATCATCGACAGCATGACATCAGTATTTAACACCGATGCTTCGCTGCCGTAACCTGACGGAGTGTGAAGATGTCAAAGCAACCCCTACCCGGTAGAATTACCGCTTGATTCTCACGAGTCAGTTTTTCGGGTGCTATCGCAAGACGACGAAGAATCAGTGACGCCAGAAACCTTGTCACAACTGGAGTCAAATTAACCCCTCTATTGTTGCTACATTCACCGCGAGTGTCCTCTTTGAAAATGGGCACTAATATCGATTCATCATACTGGTCTGGGACGGCCTTTTCCTCCCAGAATAACCCAAACAGGCTAGACGGGCACTAGCTGAGAAACCCACCACCATCCTTGAACAGGCTGGGTTGAATGTCGTTAGGACCAGCAACACGATGACACTTGAGTAGAGATATACACTCGGGCACTTCTGAGGTTGAAGGCGATTCCATATTCACAGTCCATCTTTCCGTTAAAGATCAGGATTTCGAATTGGAGGTATCAAGTGGACAACTGAATTGCTGTTTGAATTACTGTGCCCAGTGGTCCAAACATTCTGCTCTGCTGGATATCACTGAGCCATTTTGATGCTCGATACTCTCGCTGACAACAGGCTTCCAAGGATCGGTCGGACTAATCAAGTGGAACAACTTGCGGACGTTTCAAGCATCCTCTACATCTTTCATTTTCTCGGCCTTTCGGGTCCACCGAGCTTCTCGGTCTGCACCTGGCATCTGTTGATGCGTCTGTTTGTGTTGTAGTTTCTTCAAGGGGAAATCTGTTGCCGGGCTCCTATCAAAGACAGTCTTACCGGAGTTCCAATGTTTTAATCAGGTTGGATGAGTTGTGCCGCAAACAGGAGTTCCGACTTTGAGTAGTGCTTTGGATGTATTTTCCCAGTGGCCGTTTATATCCTAAATCGGACCGCCCAGCAGGCTTTCAAACAGCTGTTTACGGTAGTTCGTTTGGCTTCTGGGTCCACTAGCGTTTCATTGGCTAGGCAAGATGTGCGCGTTTCGCATAGACTTGAAAAACAATGTGAAATGCAGTAGCGTACGATTGCATGGTCGGAGTCCGAGCTAGTTT